TGAGTTTTCTCTTCTAGTTATTTAGTATGTTTTATATCAGTACAATTGCTGTTCTCATTACAATAGCTCTGTAATATATTCTGAAATTGGCAGTCTAATGCCTTACTTTATTACTCTTTGATACTCAGAATCTTTTTCTCTTTAGATTTGTGTGTGTTTTTCCTGTGTGTGTATATATGTACCATGTCTGTGCCTGGTGTCCATACAGGCTAGAAGAAGGTTTTAGATCCCTTGGACAAATTGGAGTTATGAATGGCTGTGAGTCATCATAGGGGTACTGGGTCCTCTGTAAAAGCAACAGGGCACTTAACCACTGAACTATGTCTCAGCCCTGATATTCAAGAGTGTTTTTGTGGTTCCCTGGGAATTTCAACATTTTTTTGCATCGGTCAAAAATGTTGTTGGAATTCTTACCTTGAATAATATGGATATTTATCAATGTTGATTTTTGTTTCAGTTTGTAAACATAGTCTTCTTTTTTTATTTGTGTTGTCTTCCATTTCTCTTATTTGATAACTCACTGTGTAGACCAGGCTGGCCTAAGATCTGCCTGCCTCTTCCTGCTTAGTGCCTGAGTACTGGGATTAAAGGTGTATGCTGCCACTGCCTGGTTTATTCTTCGTATTTTTAGGTGGCTGTTGTCAGTGGGTTTCTTCTCCCTACTCCCATTGATTTATTTTCTGTATAGTTTTTATTAGTGTATGGGAACAATTTTTTGGGGGGGGAGGGGCAGCAGGATCGGGGGTATAGACCTTAGAGTTTTCTAAATATAAAAATAAAAATCTTGTCTGAAGCAAGCAGGTTTTCTATTTTAGACCCCTTCTCTCCTTTTCTCGCCGGATTGATCTACAGACGGCATGTGTTATTCAGTTTGTTGGTATATTAATAGTATTCTGTTAGTCTTTTTCTTACTGTACAATAAGAAAAAAATGGAATAACAATAATCCCATTTTTTATTTCTAACTTCATTAATTTGAATTTTTTTTTCTTATTCTCAGTGTAGTTGATGGCCTGTTAATTTTGAAGGCCCTTTTGGGCAGCTCACTTAGTTTTGTTAATTTTATTTTCTTTTCTCTCTCTCTCTTTTTTTAATTTGGAAGGGGTGAGAGCCTGCCATAGCCATCATTTTGCTTTGTGTTTAGTTTACTCTTTTCTAGATCATATGCTGAAAAGGTCATTTTTTTTAATCTGATCATTTTTATGTAAGCATTTATGACTGACAATTCCCTAGCACTGACTTTCTCAGTGCCATAAGGTTGGCACACTGTGTTGTCATTTTTCAGTTTTTATTTTAATTTTATGTATTGTACCTAGACTCATGTGACCAGGCATGTGGAGGCCAGCAGTTGACCCCAGGTGTCAACCTAGACTCACTGATTGGCTAGACTACCTGGTGATCCCCAGGGACACTCATGTCTCTGCCTCCCTCCCCAGTATCTCAACCTGCTTTTACATGGTTCCTGGGGATCGCACTCTTGTCTTTGCGTTTTCACTGCGAAGTGCTTTGCTCACTGAGCTGTCTCCACAGCCTCAGTTTTATTTAATTTTGATGAGAAATATGTTTTCATTTCAGTTTTTTTTTTCAAAGTCTGGACTCAGACTTAAAAGTAGATGCTCTTAACAAGGACAGTTTCTGTCTCTTGGCAGTGTGTTCCTGGCTTCCTTCATTCTCTTAGCCAAAAGTTAGCATATTTTACATGCTTAGTGTGTTGTTTCTTCAGGGCAGTAAGTCGGCGTTTCTGTTGCAGGACACATGGAATAACAAGACGCTAAATCTTGGGTGTTTTGGTTCCTGGACTTTTTAACTTCTTTGTATAAGGGCTTTCTGATAATATTTTGGAGGACATCATCTTTAGAGAGATTGAAAAGCTTTTGGATTTTGCCAGCTTTTTTTAGTTCTCAACGATGACACACAGAAGTATCTGTCAGGCCAGCTATATCTTTTTTTTTTTTTTTAAATAACCAAGTTGAAAATACTTAGATTAAAATCCGCAAACAGACTTGTGCTTCTTCTCTCCAGTTCTTCATGGCCTATAACGAGATTGTCCCTTACTCAACAGCAGGAGCACTCTGCCATGGATCAGCACACCTGGTTCATGAATAAACCTTGTATCTTGTACCCACCACTGACTCAGACCAACACAATCCTTCCACTCTTCACTCAGAGCATCAGCAGCCACTTGTGTGGCCATGTGCTCCTCAGAAGTTACAGAGTTTCTCACAGCAGGTAGCTTCATCTCCACACAGCCAGACACCTAGGAGGCACTACAGAGAACTTACTTTAGTATTTTTAAAGGCATATGAAGACTTTTAGTCAATCCTAGAAAATGTTTACTTTACACTTGAGCAAAATGCCTATTAGTCACCTGGGTTCAGTGTCTTGTCTATATTGTTAGGTCTACTTTGGTTAAAATATAGCTCAGATCTTATTGTTTCCTTATTTTATTGCCCATCTAGTTGTTTTGTTATGGGATCTGTTTGGAGCCAACACAACTCACACACCAAGTCAATGCAGATGACAAAAACTTACTGCAATTAAGTTGCTACTGATTGATCAGGGCTGCAGAATAGACTTGGGAGCTGAACTGTGACCCCAAGCCAGAATGTTAGAGTTTTTAAACCTGAAAACCACAAACATCTGTGCCAAGTTACACATTTTCCACCAATCAGGATTCAGGGATTAGGGACTGTCCTATGAACATTTCCCTATATGGTTTACTTACCTTGTTCTCATTGGTTGGTTTACTTAAATGTCTTGCCCACAGTTCATGTCTCACTTTGTCAGCCAAGATGTCAGTTATCCAGGGAGGTCTGGGGAGGTCTTGGGAACTTAAACTTTATTTGACCCTTATTTAAAATGGAAGTTCTATCCAAAATGACTTCAGTTTGTTTCCTTCTTACAGTTTTGTTTATGATTGAAGTGTCCAGCTATAATTATAGAACTATTCACCTTTAACAGTTTACTTTACATGCTTTGAAATTTTGCTATTTGGTATCTGTATATTTATAAGTGTGAATTGATACTTTTTAAACATACAAGGTTTTTTTTTGACTGTACTAACAGTTTTGACTTATGTATTTTGTGTGATACTAGCATGACTATTCTACCTCTTTTGCATGAAGTGTCTTTCCAGCCTGTTTGTGTTCTTAGTTCTAAAGTAACTCCTTTATAGCTCCCATGCAATTTTACAGTACTTTATCCATTTGAGGCTAGAAAATTCAAATGTAAATATCAATGAAGAACTTGCACCATTCTATTTGTTTTCTGGATTTTTTAATAGCTGTAAGAATCTTACCTCTTTTGTGAGCTATTATAAACAGAACCCAGCCTGCATATTTAAATGTTACTATTTCAAAGCATGCCTGTTATTGTGCATTAATTAGTAAAGATAAATGTATGAACTGTTACATCAATCATCATTATATTTTATAACATATTTAACCTTGTATAATGTGTACCTTAAAGCTATGTATGTTTTGGAAAAACTGGTATGGTTGGTACTATATACTAAGCATAAAAAATTAAAGATACCACAGGAGAAATCATGCCCTAGCCTTTTCTCTTCTTTGTTGGGCTTGTGCTATGATGTGCAAGTACCCTTGAGGCTGGAGGCATTGGATCCCTTTGAACTGGAGTTACAGACAGTTGTAGGCTACCTGACATGGGTATAGGGCACCTATTTGGTTCCTTTGCAAGAGCAGTATGCTTTTAACCACTACTCAGGTATCTTTCTAGTCCCAGATTTCCATTTTTTAATGTCTTTAGTCATTCACTATTGTCTATACTAAAGATTAGTACTTTTACTTTTTCACGAAGCAGTGATATGTAAACTATTTTTTTTTTTTTTTTTTTGGTTTTTCAAGACAGGGTTTCTCTGTGGTTTTGGAGCCTGTCCTGGAACTAGCTCTGTAGACCAGGCTGGTCTTGAACTCACAGAGATCCGCCTGCCTCTGCCTCCCAAGTGCTGGGATTAAAGGCGTGCGCCACCACCGCCCGGCTTACCTTTTTTTTTTTTTCTTAATGTGACTGTCTTTGGTCACTAAAACACATTTTTGTTAAAGTGTCAGTTACAATATTATTTGTTACTTTTTTTTAAAAGATGGGTGTAAATTATTAAACATTTTAAAACCCTTTGACAGTGTGGAATTTGTTTGGTCAATGTCTCTTCCTGTGGCTGTGGTATATTCCCTGACAGAGCCAGGCAGTGGTGGCGCACGCCTTTAATCCCAGCACTTAGTAGGCAGAGGCAAGCGGATCTCTGTGAGTTTGAGACCAGCCTGGTCTTCAAGTTCTATCCAGGACAGGCTCCAAAGCTACAGAGAAACCGTGCCTTGAAAAAGCAAGGAAAAGAAAACCCTGACAGATCAACAATAAGAAGTGTTTATTTGGGGTCACAGTCCGGAGCAGGGAAGGCCTGGTGTGAGAAGCTTCAGGCAGCTGGTCACTGCAGCCAGGCAGGAAACAGAGAAAGTTGATTGCTTCCTCTCACCTAGCTTCCTTTTATATTCCTTTTTAAGGTTCTTTACATCTGTTATTCAAATCAAATAATCCTTCACAGACATGCCCAGAGGCTAACCTAATATAAGTATACTGGAAGTTTGTCTTCTAGGTGATTCCAGGTCCTATTAGGGTGATTACCCTAGGCCAGGCTTAGTGTGAAACTGAGGACAAACATAAATTTTCTGAAGCCTGCTCTTTTCTGAAGGGAAATAAATGTAGGAGCAGTGGATCTGGACAGGAGAGGTGGTGCGCAGAACTGGGAGGAGTAGATGTATTGTATAAGAGAAGAATAAATAAAGAGGAAAAAAATTTTTTCTTACATAAAGTCTTGATATTTTTGATTGTGAGTTTATTCTTTAACGGTTGAACCATCTTTCCAGCACTAATGTGGAGTTTTTATAGTATATTTGAATGTCACTAACTAGTGAAACACTAGCATTATTATATTTGTTGTATAATTTGGCTGAGTTTGACAGGTTTTTCTTCTTTTTTCTTTTAGGTGAATCTGGACTAGGAAAGTCAACATTAATCAACTCATTGTTCCTCACAGATTTATATTCTCCCGAGTATCCAGGGCCTTCTCATAGAATAAAAAAGACTGTACAGGTATTATGTTATTGTTGTTAATTAGTAACAGTCATGTTAGCACACAACACATTCATTTTATTTGGTGTCTAGAAGTAGATTCATATTTGACTTTTAGTGGAAAGTGTTAAACACGACTTGATCAAACTAAAACAAAAACATATATACATGATCAGAGGTATTATCCTAACTAGAACCTGCCATAAGTGATCTGATGACCCTCCTAGAAATTGCATTGTGATATAGGAGTAACTCTGGAGTTATGTTATCCATTATGCACATATGACTAAGGTCAAAGCAATAAATTAAATAAAATTTAGAATGCAATTTCTCAATTACATTATAAACATCTCAAGTACTCTGGAGCTCCATGTACTAACTGGTTCTTTTTTTGGACAGCCATATATAAAACATTTCCCCTATTGGCATGAGTTAATACCATATGATAACTAAATGGCAGTGGTAATTATGTAAGACTGCCAAACTATATATGGTCCAGTTTTCACCTCTTAGTCTTACGATACATGCTGATGAGCTGAGATCTTACTAAGTATAGTTCCTGGTCTTGTATGTGTGAGGTCAGACTGGACTTCTGCATTTTTAACTGGATCCCAAGTAGTGTGGATGCTGCTGGTTGGTGGAACACACTTTATAAACTTTAGTGCAGTGGTTCTCAACTTTCCTAATGCTATGGCCCTTTACTATAGCTTCTCATATTGTGGTGAGGCCCAACCATAAAATTATTTTGTTGCTATTTTATAACTGTAATTTGCCTACTGTTCTGTATCCAGATGTAAATATCTGAAGTGCAGGATAGCTGATACATGACTCCAAAAGGAGTTGTAACCACAGGTTGGGAACCACTGCTCTAGATTTTAAATCTATACTTTGCAACACAATAGCTTGTAACTACCTGTTGCTCCTGAGCTTTTGTAATAAGTGTATTCCAAATTGAGATATTCCACAATTGTAAAATGTACTTCATGATTTTCAACACTTAGCATGCAGAAAAAAGAATCTGACTTCTCATTGGTTTTTGTCTATTTGCTTGTTGTTTTGTTTTGTTTGTTTGTTTGAAACAGTTTTTCTGGGTAGTCCTGGGCTGTCCTCTAACTCAGAGATCCACCTGCCTTTGCATTTACTCCCAGTGCTTGGATTAAAGGTGTGCACTACCACCATCCTGCTCTTTCATTGTTTTTGTATCAACTATATTTAAAGTGGCTACTGAAAAATTTAAATCTGCTTATGCGGATCACCATATACTTTACTTTGGTAGCACTGCTCCAACTGCTGGTTCAAAGCTTATTGGTGGGCTGATAAAGTAAGATATGGCATATTGTTGAGGCACGTGGGTTTAGAGCTGGATTTGAAGTAGTGATTTATACCACTGTACAAGATGGAAGGACAGAAACATGCATATCATACTGCCTGGTGCATTTGATTAAGGAGTGTTTTTGTGAAGAAAATATTTTATTTCTCATTTAGCTTAGAGAAGGAATAAAATGTAACTTTTAAATTACCTACAGAAAAATGTTCCTAAGAATGTGAGCCTACATGGCTTATTTTGTGGTTAATATTGAAGATTTTAATCTTAAAGAAGAAAAACTTATCTTCAAATGTAGATCTTAATATTGAACATCAGAAAACTTGGAAATTTATAGCGTCTAAGTTCAGATGTATTTGGTATAAAATAATCTGCTAGATATTGTCATGAACTTAAAAAAACTATTCTTGGTTAGGTAATTTTTCAAGTTCTCATTGTTCTAACTTGTAGATAGCTAATTCCAAATCTACGTGAGTAATGATTTTTGAGACAGACTGTGCTGTGCCCTGAGATCATGCAATAAATGAAAGAGACAAGTTTCAGATCTGAACTGTTTGTATACACACACACACACCCATAAACACACCCATAACCACATGCTATAGGTGTTTAATGACTGAGTTGAATAGACTAATCAGTTCTTTTAAAACAAAGGATTAGCTTTTCTTTTCTTCCTACTTTATGTATAACAATGCACTATCAGTTTTACAAGTTAGCACTTCGGATTTATTTTGCTAAATGGCAGTCTACGGTGGTCGAGATATGTCTTCCACTGGCTGGAAGTTTGCTTAGGCTATGTTGTCTATCCAGTGAACGTATCCAGTGGATTCCTGTCTCCACTGTTCAGCATTGACATTGCAAATACACACTGCTGCTCCTGAGTGGCTTTTTACATGGATTTTGGAGAATCAAATTCAGGTCCTTTTGCTCCTGTGGCAAGTACTTTACTGACAGTTTTCTCCCCACCCCTAGAAATGAGGAATACACTAGCAAGAGTTACTGGGTGTTTTAATAGATAAAAATACTAACGTGTAATTTGGGGATTTAAGACAAAGAAATATATTTGACAAAACATTCATTGAGATATTATAGTTATGGTTATTTTGTTATTCTACAAATTCCAGAAGCATCTTTTAAGTAGGATTCATAAAACATAGCTGTCACTGATATTCTATAGTACTGTGATATTTTTTCCTTTGTCCTTTTTATTTAGTTTTGTTCTGAAAATCATTCCTTCCCCAAAGATAAGCACCCCACCTCTCTAGATTTATTAGTTTGAATGTTCTTGAACTTCATGTAGGTTTATTCTTGAAGCTGATTTCTTTCACCTAGAATTATTTTTCTCACTTGTTCATGCTTGTTGTACTTGTTCTTTCTCATTACTGGATAGTATTATGGGAGCTCAACCCTTTTAGCCAATGACATTTGGGGTGACTAACCCTATGGATCTGGTTTGCTCTGAATGCATGACCAGATAAAACTGAGGAGGGGGTAGCATGCTCTTTCTTGGGTGGTCAGAGCAGGGGCAAACCTTGTGGTTGGTCCGCATCACCCTTGAAAAAAATGGCATGACAACGCAGCTGGATCAGTAGTAGCTTATATCTTGTTCTGTATTCATGAGTCTATTTTTCCATTGTACCCCTTAATAAATTACAAACTAGACTTTTGTGAATTTTCACTTCACCTGGCACCCAATGTGGGAATAGAAAAAAGGGGGATAGATAGATAGATAGATAGGATAATAAGGTAGATTATTGTATCTACTTGTAAACTAAAATAGCAGCTATCAGTTTTAGATAATTTGCATTGGTATGGATTCTTGTATATTGATACAAATATAAAATTATTTTTCTATTCCTGTCCAAGATAATTTGTGTATTGATATAAATTCAAAATTGTATTTGTCATATTGAATATAATGTTCCTACTTCTGTCTAAAATATTTTTATATATTAATACAAATGTAAAGTTTTTGTCATACTGTATGTATGTTTCTACTTCTGTTTAGGATATTTTGTATTTTGATGCAAATTAAGGATATTTTTGTCATTGCATTATACATTCCCATCTCTGATTAAGATACTTTTATATATTGTCACGATTTTGAGGTCACTGTTCTTACGTTGTACATCTGTTTAAAGACTGCTTCTTTTTATAATATGAAGCTTTTATTCTTTAAGCTATATAGGTTATTAAGAATTATAAGTTAATAGTTACTCATGTTTGTCATACTTACATTATGTTAGTTTTTCTAGATGGCACAAAGATGTATTCCATAAAGCTAGGTAATCTTCAGATGCTTTAAAAACCTATAGACTATGCCATTTAAATGTTTTAATAACTTAGAATTCTGTTGATATGAGGCTCAACTGCTCCTGGCAACACCGATTTACTCCTGAGAGAATGGTGGGCACTGAAGACCCTCCATATGGAGCTTGTTTTCTTCTTGGCAAAACCGGCCTAATGGGCAGAAAACTGCCCTTGCTTCGACTGCTGACAGCATGCTGTCCAGTCCATACAAGCAGGATACAAGGAAGAGCAATTGTTGAACATTGCCAAGACAGGGTAGGACAGTCTTTCAAATTTTCCTGCTTCTAAAAATGGTCTTGTCAGATATTCTAGGCCTGTAACCAAAGTTGGATGCCCCAACATTACAGAGAAACGTTAGGTGACTGTCCAGGCAGCCAGCTGTTCCTTGCATTTTTTGCATTTTTCGGAAATCAAAATTTGCTTGCACTTCCTACTTAACTTAGGTAATACTACATTCCTTCTCAGGTCTTTGATGAGGTTGAAGACTAGATAGTTACAGTTTTTGTAGAAATATATCACAGCATGTCCTTTTTGTTTTGGATAAACATTTAGGTTTCTGTTTTTTATTCATTTAAATATCCTATTGTATATGTATGTGTAAAGACAAAGACATTTTACTTCTTTCATCTGTTTCCATTTGTAGTTCAGTTGAGCACGTCTGCTTTACTCATTGGCTACTTAGGTTTCATTGAACTGCTTTGGTCATTTTAATATTTCCTGACTTTTTCTTATTTCCAGGAGTTCTTTATCTATATATGAATCTCTGACATTTTAAACATTTCAGTGTCTTATTCCCAGCTATAATCTATTTAGAAAGCTGAAACTTTTACTCATTTACTTTCAGGGAAGAACATGACATACCGTAGAAAAGAGTCAAGAGGCCTCAGTGTAGTTAGAATGTGATCATCCTTTGCAGCCTCGGCCCAGCAGTCTAGCAGATAATCTGTCCTTGATGTAATAAATTGTCTCAGTAGAGGGTTTGATCTACCATTTTGTATCCCATTTTATAAATATAGACCAATATAGGCATACTCTCTGGAGTTTTGAAAGACAAATGTCTGTGGTTTTTGTGATCTGAAGGATTTTTTTTTTTTTAAATAATTTTTTTTATTAAGAAAAGAAGAAAAAAAAACATAAACAAAAAACAAGTTTCCACCTCCTCCCAGCCTCCCATTTCCCTCCCCCTCCTCCCACCCTTCTCCCCCTCCTCCCACCCTTCTACCCCTCCCCCCACTCCTCTCCCCCTCCCTCTCCAGTCCACAGAGCAGTCCAGGTTCCCTGCCCTGTGGTAAGTCCTAGGTCCTCCCCCCTCCGTCCATATCTAGGAAGGTGAACGTCCAAACTGGCTAGGCTTCCACAAAGCCAGCACATTAAGTAGGATCAAAAC